TAACGCCTTGAATAATGGTAGGATATTGTGGAATAAAGAAATTGTGAGGTATTTTAAGGTATACACAGACTGAAAACATTCACGAAATATCTCAACCAGTAGGAAACAGCTGATGTACTGCTATTGCATATACTGAATAATATGTGAGAAAGTTAACCACTGAACCTAAGAAAATGTTCAATTCACTTTAACTGTTGGTACTTCTGCCTTAAAGGAATAACCTACAACAATGGAAATAAAATAGAATATTTCTGCTGGAGGCGACGGGTCTTGAATTGAGTTGAAATTTTAGTTCATTCCGTTTCTTACTGCGAGTATATGACCTATAAATGTCATGTACTGAAGGAAATTAAATTATCCAAATCACATCTAGTAAAGGAAGGCAGAATTTAGAATTTCCAATGATATATGTGTTTACTATTTATCATCTTAATAAATACATTATTATAAAGAAAGCTTATTTTGTTCCACATTCTTATAACTCTATCGATAGCCATGATACAATGATGTCTGTATAAACACGTGAAAAATGAGTTGGTGGATATTGACGGATACAAATCGACAACAGCGCCACGAAACCAGACGCCACTACAAAACAAAACCTGAATAAAAATATGTTTCTACTCCGTTACTCTAATATAATTCATATTTTAAAATGAAAAATGTATTCTATTTTTTTTCGGAATCAGAAAATATGTTCGCTACAGTTTTATTTCACACAAACAATTTACATTTCCCTATATTAATATTCATTTTTAATACTTTATATACGTCATACACAAGAGGATGTTAACAACTGACTCACGCACTTGTGATAATTTACTGACTAGAGTGCTAGTTGGTTACAACTTCCATTTCGTAGCAACGAGAAAACGGAACTGATGTAAGTGTTAGTGCCAGCCCTAGTGCTCACAACCTCAACACACAATTCAAATATGAAAAAAATAAGTTTTCTGCAGTAGAATTTAAATTAATCATTTTCATACTGCTTTTATGTAAAGAAAAATTCAAAAATAATACTAAAGTGTTGTCACTGTGGCATACAACTAATTTTACGTGCAACTTAAGCTAGCAGAATTACTGTGACATATTTTAAACAAATGGTAATTCTCAGACCATTTCATACGACTCTAAAAAAACAGCCTCGCTATCCTTTTGTCCACGTTTAAAACTTATAAAACATGAAACTATAAGAATATAACAAATGGTCTGAATGTGACCAGCTGGTTACAAAATGTCGCTTCAATTCTGTAAGATCAAATTATTTTTAGGCCCAATAATAACACTGTTTATCACTGTGTGTGTTATGTATGACTAATAATGATTTTAAATGGCAGACAATTATACTTTACACATGTCGCTACCAATAGGCAACTTTTAGAAATATCTTTATTACTGGCGACGAAAACGTAGAAATAGTTTTAATTGTACTTCTGTGACGAAATGGATGACCAAAGTAATGTGGTAGAAAGTAGCGAAGGAGATAAATTTACAAAAAAGATAAATAAATGGAAGTAAAATGTGGTAATGTGTGAAGATAAGAAATTATTCCTCCCTCAATTTTAACGGGTATTTCTAAATATTATTTAAAAATAATTGTATGGAATCAGAACGCTAGATGACGATTCTAGATCACCTACAGCCTATTTACCGAGACGAGACAGTGAATGCAAACTAAACTGCTCGGGCCATCATGCGATCACTTACTACGCTGGCTCTACCGGTTTCTTCAACTCTCGAATCAGATGACTGTCACGTGCGTAGCTAAAGGATTGTTCTTACATCGACTGTCTGGTCTCCGTAAATGGCCTATATGGACGTATACATAAGCATGCTTTGTATTTGAAATAAGAAATTTCTCCTTCTACCAATTCTTCCTAGCATTTACTTAAAAAACAATGGCACTACTATACATAAAGCCACTGGTATCTGATCGTATTACATGGAAATGCCACCTTAACAGTTAATACCCCCCCCCCCCCCCCCCA